CAATTAGTCCAAACACCCATCAATTAGTCCAAACACCCTTCAACTAGTCAGAACACCCATCAATTAGACCAAACACCCATCAATTAGTTCAAACACCCATCAACTAGTCAGAACACCCATCAATTAGTTCAAACACCCATCAACTAGTCAGAACACCCATCAATTAGTCCAAACACCCATCAATTAGTCCAAACACCCTTCAACTAGTCAGAACACCCATCAATTAGTCCAAACACCCATCAATTAGTCCAAACACCCTTCAACTAGTCAGAACACCCATCAATTAGACCAAACACCCATCAATTAGTTCAAACACCCATCAACTAGTCAGAACACCCATCAATTAGTTCAAACACCCATCAACTAGTCAGAACACCCATCAATTAGTCCAAACACCCATCAATTAGTCCAAACACCCTTCAACTAGTCAGAACACCCATCAACTAGTCAGAACACCCTTCAATTAGTCCAAACACCCATCAATTAGTCCAAACACCCTTCAACTAGTCAGAACACCCATCAATTAGTCCAAACACCCATCAACTAGTCCAAACACCCATCAATTAGTCCAAACACCCAAACACCCATCAAATAGTCCAAAAACCCTTCAACTAGTCAGAACACACATCAATTAGTCCAAACACCCTTCAACTAGTCAGAACACCCATCAATTAGTCCAAACACCCATCAATTAGTCCAAACACCCATCAATTAGTCCAAACACCCTTCAACTAGTCAGAACACCCATCAATTAGTCCAAACACCCATCAATTAGTCAGAACACCCATCAATTAGTCCAAACACCCATCAATTAGTCCAAACACCTTTCAACTAGTCAGAACACCCATCAATTAGTCCAAACACCCTTCAACTAGTCCAAACACCCATCAATTAGTCCAAACACCCTTCAACTAGTCCAAACACCCATCAATTAGTCCAAACACCCATCAACTAGTCAGAACACCCATCAACTAGTCCAAACACCCATCAATTAGTCCAAACACCCATCAACTAGTCCAAACACCCATCAATTAGTCAAAACACCCTTCAACTAGTCCAAACACCCATCAATTAGTCAGAACACCCATCAATTAGTCCAAACACCCTTCAACTAGTCAGAACACCCATCAATTAGTCCAAACACCCTTCAATTAGTCCAAACCCCCATCAATTAGTCCAAACACCCATCAATTAGTCCAAACACCCATCAATTAGTCCAAACACCCATCAACTAGTCCAAACACCCATCAATTAGTCCAAACACCCATCAACTAGTCAGAACACCCATCAACTAGTCCAAACACCCATCAATTAGTCCAAACACCCATCAACTAGTCCAAACACCCATCAATTAGTCAAAACACCCTTCAACTAGTCCAAACACCCTTCAATTAGTCAGAACACCCATCAATTAGTCCAAACACCCTTCAACTAGTCCAAACACCCATCAATTAGTCCAAACACCCATCAACTAGTCAGAACACCCATCAACTAGTCCAAACACCCATCAATTAGTCCAAACACCCATCAACTAGTCCAAACACCCATCAATTAGTCCAAACACCCATCAACTAGTCAGAACACCCTTCAACTAGTCCAAACACCCATCAATTAGTCCAAACACCCATCAACTAGTCCAAACATCCATCAATTAGTCCAAACACCCTTCAACTAGTCAGAACACCCATCAATTAGTCCAAACACCCTTCAACTAGTCCAAACACCTTTCAACAAGTCAGAACACCCTTAAACAATTCCGAACACCCACCAATTAGACCAAACACCCATCAACTAGTCCAAACACCCATCAATTAGTCAAAACACACATCAATTAGTCCAGACACCCATCAATTAGTCCAAAAGCCCATCAATTAGTCAAAACACACATCAATTAGTCCAGACACCCATCAATCAGTCCACATCTATTAGTCCAAACACCCATCAATTAGTCCAAACATCCTTCAACTAGTCCAAAAACTTTCAACCAGTCCAAACACCCTTTAGCAAGCACAAACCTGCTCTTCAACAAGAACAATCCCTCTTTAACACCCTTTAGCAAGCACAAACCTGCTCTTCAACAAGAACAATCCCTCTTTAACAAGAACAAACCTTGTTCAACTAATATAAACTAATTCAAATGGCACTGAATCCCTTTTCAACAAAAATGGTGACAAAAAATTCCAACAACTCCAACACTTACATTTTGTTGTAAATTATACACTTACTCATTCTACATTTAGTTTGATAAATAAAATTGTCCATTTTCTCAAAAAAAGAATATAACATATGTTTCTCTCAGCACTGTGTAATTCAATCTAAGTAGCATAAGTAATTGTGGAACAAAATAACTTTTTCATTAACCAAACTTATCAAACTGTCTGTCTCTATATAAAAACTTCATTTAACTTCAACACAGGACATTCACACTGAAATATATTGGAACTAAATTTGAGTAGCAGGGTTAGAAATTGCAGTTGAGAAGTGGATGAATATGTGAATGCTTTTTGCAGACAACAGATAAAAGTAATTAGTGTTTATGCCTACATCACAGGTACATGTGGTGCAGCCCCTCATGCAATACATTTTTTAACTAGGCTCAGTTGTTCTGCCGAATAAGTTAACTTCTGTCACTCACAAAGTTTGCCAAGTACAGCAACACATGGAATCTGAAGAGCATATGAGAACATATAGTCTCTGGATGAAGCTTACTAAACACTATGTTTGTATTTATCAGTTGGTAATGAAAACATCTGCTGACATCAATAACTTTAAAACAAACATGGTTTAAATGATAAAAAACATCAAACTTTATTAAGATGTAACATTGAAGAGAGTAAATAACAAGAGATCCCAGAAGGATTTGGCATCCACTATTGTTTGATTTTTATTCAATCTTTAAGAGTTGGATATTTCTCCTTCTTTTCTGTTCTTTCCTCTCTTCTTGTTCTTTGGTATAACAAATTGGAAAATATCTCAAGCAATTGTAATAATAATTTTTAACCATCAAATCCAAGATAGTCACCCATTAGCAATCTGATTAGTCCCAAAATCACCAGATCACAAAAAGGGACCATGAGGAAGGTACATACAGAATTGAAGAAAGGTCTATCCAGCATTTTTCAAAGTATAGTGATAACAACTTTTAATATCAAAAATCCAAGATGGCCACCTGTCTGCGATTTTGGTTTCCTGATCAATCCTGAGATCAGAACGGCACAAAGGACCAAGAAAAACCTGTAGATGAAACTTGAGTGAGATATCTCCAGTACTACTCAAGAAAAAAGTAATAACAAGAACTGTTTACAGTCTGATGTAGAACCACAGCCATTGGTCAGTTTTAATAGGACACCTGTATAATACAAGAACCTCTGTACTTTGACATACTGTTGGTGGGTACAATACAGGAGACTGGTATGATCAGGGACATTACCGAGATATACATGCATAACAACACTTGTTTTATCAACTCCCTGTGGCTTGCTGTTTCCAGTAAATATCTCTTGTTTACATATAGTTTCTTAAAACATTTGGTTTATGTAAAGATTAATCATATTGTTAGTGTAATCTAAATTTTGACTTCTGACCTCTTTTATGAAGACAGATATTTCCTAATTACCAAGTAGAGGTAATTGAATTTTCCTGTTCTATTTTATGAATGATCATCAAAATTTAGAACAACTACAGAGAATATTGAGTGACACATAACAGATATGGTCAACCAATCTTACATTTCGGGTGTTAAACTACCAGTTTTACAAGCATTAGTTAAGATTTCAAACAAAACAAGGCCAGACCTTTCCATGATTCAGTTCCTTTACAGAGATCTGACCCAAAATTAATTTTTGTAATAAGAAGGTCAGATATCAAAATATAGGTCACAGTGATCCAATTTCTACAGATGCCATACTCCTATGAATTTTCAGTCTACTTTGCTAGCAATGATTACTGTGATGACTCTCTGACTGAAGTGATCTGTTACCATGTGGAGCAGACAGAGCAACAGATGGAGAACCTATTAAAATATTAACTAACATACAACACCGTTATTGTCTTTATTCAGTTCCATCCAATTTTACATCCAAACTTTCGTCAAGAGCATGTGCCATTTCCTGATTGGTTACAGACAGTTAATCCTATTCCAATGTCATACCTGTAAAAACTGATACTTTATTGCTATAAATTGTTGGGTTCTCAAGCCTGCAATCTACTGACTGTTGAGCAGAACAGCTAACAATCTGATTGGCTATTACGTACACAGATATAACGTATAGCGGGTTACTTTAACAGGTCAAAATTTTCATGATTTTCTTTTAAAAACACCAAATATTCTTTAAATGAATTAAAAATACAAAATCTGGATGTGAAAGGACATCAAATAAACATAAATATGATTACTTAATGGATTAAATTTCCTTCATCATGTTAATGTCCAAACGTAACAAAGATAGTTCACTACATTGATTTAAGTGATAAAGACGATATCAATGAAAATCACCTTTGACCTCTCTTACACCAACGTCCATTTGAATGTTTTCTCACTACCTATACCCATTCTGATGGAGCTCATTTATCAGTTTTACAAGTTAGAGGAAAATGCAGAGAATACACAAGTTTGGTTCATTTTCTCGGGTAAAAAAAGCATTTGTATCTCAGAAAATTTACTAATTTGCTAGGTATTTGACATAATTTTCCTCCTAAAAATACCATATCAATATCAAACCCACTTTGCTGTGAGATATGTAACACACATTAATCTTTGAAATGTTTTTTTTTATCCACATAACGTATATCATGAGTATTATATCCATGTGCACGATATTAGAAAGTGTATTGGATAATATTTATTACCAGTCATTTAAAAACATTTTAAAAATGATACTATCTTTTTTATTTTTGACTTTTCTGTAGATTTTTTTAGTGTGTTTTGCTCATTTCTTCTTTTACATGTAAAATACTGTTTTTTAGTCGGAAATTAAACTGATGACATGATGATGACTTACCAGGCAGGAATAAAGAAATGATATTGATAAACACCACTAGAAAATTCCCTGCTTCAGCTGCTGTAGGAGTGCACAGAGGATGAGGCCTATAGCTTTCTGATTCAATAATACAATTAGTATCTACACTACACTTACTAAAGGCAGTTTGGAATAAAATAGAAACGGGCAGTGTGCAAAACTCCACCAACAGAAATCATAGTGCAGTGTGCAAACATTTTTCCTGACCCTCCTAACATAGAAAATTCCTAAATTATGATAGAAGTGACTAAGAGGTTATATATACAGGAGTTAGTCGAGGGAGGGGGTGGCAGTCAGGGGCATCAACAACATTCACACACAGCTGCAATGTTTTAATTTCCATTTTCTAAGAGCATCCTCCTCCTCCTCATCACCTGGTTCTGTTGTAGAAATGTGCCATTTTTTGCTACATCTCAAGCCTTCCATTATATCATGCTACCTATTATTTTTTTATGTGTGTCAGAAATCAGAACTAACAAATGACTAAACACTTTCACCGATGACTAAAACAGCTATATAAAACTAGACATTTTCTAATCTATTGACACATTTAATTTTATCAGTTTAAATGAGGAATTAAATTTTTAAATTAAGATTATTTTTGTCAAAATGTAAATTTTACTACATGTCAACAACATAACTTTGTTTTCTCTTTAACATTCATTTTGATAATGATAGAATTACAAGGTCAGATCCACAGTTCTAAGGACATGTCATGTTTAAGTACAACTTTTCTTTAAAACAATTAGTTTATATTAAAACTGCAAGTAGTGACAAAAATTCAAAAATCGCTCACCAAGCAAAAGCGTATTTCCCCATTTTACCAAACAAATGTGCATATTTTGCAAATTTGCACCAATTATGGCCACTGTTTATGTCTACAAAACAAACTTGCTTTGCGTCAGAAGCATTCCTGTGAAGTATAAGAATAGCTGGTCTGATCAGCAGGTGTGTGTTATCTTACCAAGCTATAGGTAGGTTGTACAGTACTCTTGTTGTAGATGTTTGGGTTGGGAGAAATCATCAAAATATATCTTTCATCAGACAGGCATTCTGTCTACAAATGTGAACAACAAACGTGTTTCTACAGTAATAAATATTAGTCTACTGCAGACGAGGGATACTACTTCTGGCGTCTACTGTAGAAAATGTTTCAGAACCTTGGTCTGCACACACTCAACATTCATCAGCAAACTCTATTTATATATCTACCACTACAATACTTCATATATTACATAGAAATAGATTTGATTGATTGATTGATGGATTGAATGTGCTTCAACACGTACAGGCATTAACATGAAAAGAATCAAGTGTCAAACTTAGAAAAAGTCTATCTACTTATAACCCTATAGATCAGGTGTGAACTTGATGCTATAATACTTGCGGGTGTATATGAACAAAATCTGTAGAAAGGTTCTCAAGATTTGTCATTGATTCCAAACAGGACTTGTCACATTGTGGCAGACTCGGGCGGACAGACATGAGTAAGACTCTTCAATGCTTCACCCTTCCCTCCCCCTACCCTCTAACAAATTAAGCAGGAATTATAAAAAAAGGAACTGTAGAGGGGAGCAAGGTACAGCCATAACAAAATTTATTACATATCACTGAAGAACAAGACAGCATAAATTGGCTTCATGTTTAATACAAACTAGTCCCACTTATATATCAGCACAGAATAAATTTATCTAAAGGAGCTTTTCAAATTTTATCACATTCACATTTTGTTTTCAAAAATTTAATGACAGTAAAACTGAATATTTTCATGCTTGCATTCTTGGGTAACACACTTTATCTCCATTACTTATGATAACATATGATGGGTCTTCAGCATGGTGTTCAGTGAGGTAGATATAACTGCTACAAGTAGACCTTGACTGCTTGCTGCTGATATCTCAATAAACAAACAATTCTACAACAAAATGTTCCTTCCATAAAGAAATAACATTTCCAACTTAAAGAGATTAGGATGCTTCTAATTTATGTTTTGTAGAATAAATGACAGCAGCTTTACAGTACCACACCTTCAGTGGAGCAGGCAAGATGCCTATTGGTATACTATAAAATGGTTTCATATAAAGATAGTGTAAGTGTGGAAATGGTGAGATTGATTTCCTTTAGCTAACTTTTCATTATCTCGTGAATCACCAGAAGAGATCTTAACTGTCAGTGTGACTCCTTTATTTTCTGTTTGACAACTCACAAGTCATTTATCTCGGAAATCTTTGATGGAATTGTGGAAATCAATGGAAAAAGTGATAAAATGATCAATGACAGCCCTAGAAACAGTATCGAGAAAATTGACTCCCCTAAACACTTAATCACAACTTTGTCTTTCCCTTAAATTAAAATAATTCAATTATTTCTAACTATATCACAGACCTGGAGGATTCCATCTTAGATGAAAAATCAATGGACTGTAACTAAACAGATATACAAATGTTTGATGTCACAGCTTATTGCTTATGTCCTTAGCTGAATGTCACAATTAAACTTATAAAAAAAAATGAAAATTTTATAAATTATTGCAGTATCAGTGTACTACTTTGATTCAAGCACAATAGCTAGGTTTTTTTGTTTTTTTGTTTTTTTAAATTTCACTTAAAAATATTGAAGTTTTGCTTCTTGTAAAAAAAATTTATCTTGTCTAGGAAGTATGTAGAAAAGTTGATGGAAAAAAAATTGCTTTAATATCTTAGAAAGGAAATTTCCAGTATGCAGTTTTTATTCTAGTTTTCAGACCCTGAGTGGTTCTAGGGATAGTTACATGTATTATGTTTACACTGTAAATCACACTAAGTTGACTTGAAATTAACACTCAACATCCTTGTAAGTAATAACCACTTGTATCACAACAGTTTCTCTATCTTAACACTTAACACTGGAAAGTACTCCTTTCTGTAAGGGAAGCCACATCAACCCTAGAGTTTGATTTGAGATTCTCAAACATGTACAGATTCTTTATTTTAAATGTGATTTTCAGAAACAATTACAATGTATGATGTTAAAGGAGACCTTCTTTTGTTAACCGAGCTTGCTGTTTGATGTCAATATACTACAGGTGCTGTGGACTGGTAGACTGGCTCCTGTCCCTAGAATATCAAAGTATCAATAAAATTGGGCTTAACTTAGGTCTCCTCGATATGTCTGATTCTAAAGTTTTAAACCAGAAGATAAGCTAGCAGAGAAATTCTTAACAAAAAAAGAGAAGGGTTTGGTAGTCCACAAATAAGAGTGTAAAGTTGATTTCACCAAAATTTCAATGTAAAAGGTATGCACTTTTCCATTATTCCATCTTCTAATATAGAAAATACAAACACCATGAAAATGAAAACTGTTAAGGTATAAACTGCCCAAAACATTTCAGATCATTCCTGAAGCCAGTGAACACAATTTGGTGTGAAAGCTTAACAACTGTATCATTATTGATACCAAATATGGCATCCTTGAAATCTTACAGCAGTACACATACAGACAGATTTTAGAATCTTAACTCTTAGAGCTATAACTTGGAGACGGCTTGAAAATATGTTTAAAACATATTCACATGATGTAAAGAATATGCTGACATGAGATTTAGCCTGGGAATGAAGAACTGTACTTAATAGTCCCTCGAAATCCCAAAAGACCTTGAACATTCAGGCAACAAACAATTTATATTCATGTATACAAAGCTGACTGGGAGCAAGCGTGTTACATGGCTGTTATCCTGACATGTTAGATATTGTATGATTTACCTTGTTACTGAATCTACTATGTTATAAAAATTTAAGCATGCTTATGATCAAAACTCTTGGTATTGAATTATAATGTCCTATTCATATGCTGCCCTCCATAAAAAATGACTCTGATTTGACTGAAGAATTTTATTTTACAGATGCAAAATGGATGAAACTATTCAAGAAAAATACAAGATGTAAAACACTGTACAACAGCTCAGCAAAAGGTTAACAGATTCCACAGCGAGGAAATATCTTTAAAAATCAATTCTCACCTATATGGTAACTTTAACTAAATGATTGCACAAAAAGAACATAATAAAACTGTCAAAAACCAAGATGACCGCCTGTTCGCCATTCGTTTTCGGTATTTTTGTTTGTCATTGTTGTAATATCAAAAATGCACAAATAGTGGCCAAGCTGATCCGTTAAATGATATTTGAGAATTATCTTCTGGTATCTATTAAGAAATAGTAATAATCAACTTTTAACAATTAAAATCCAAGATGGCCAATGTTTCTTATCAGACTCAAAATCAACAAGAGATCCCAAAAGGATCTTAGCGCCCACCATTGTTTGATCTTTATGTGCTCTATGAAAGCTGAATCTTTTCCGTTCTTTTCTCTTCTCTTCTCTGTTTATGCTCTTAATGATAAGATATTTGAACATTCCTCTTCAGAAATAGCAACGATAATCTTTACCTGGCAATCCAAACTGGCCACCTGCAAACCATTTTGGTTCTTCTGACCAGTCCCAAAATCAAATGAGCACAAGGAGAGACCAAAGGGAACATACATATGAAATTTGAGAGATATCCATTCAGTACTTCTTAAAAGTAAGCATTAACAATCTTTACTAGGCAAAATCCAAGATGCTGCCACAAACTTTCAAGGTCAAAATCTAAGATGTCCGTCTGTCGGATATTTTGTTTTTCTGATCAGTCCCAAATTTACATGGGCCCTACTAGGGACCAAGGGGAACTCCATATGAAATTTGAGAAAGATCCATCCAGTACTTGTCAATAAATAGCAATAACAAAAATTGTTTATGGACGGATGGATGCTTGGACAGACCACGGACACCTGGACTGACATACCAAAGATCAAGGACCATAGAATAATGGTGATTAACATACACAGTGTATTAAAGCCCCACATTTTCATGATTTTAGAGTATTCTTCTAGCTAATTATAAGGAGGTAAACCAAATCTGATGATAGACTTTCAGTAAACCTTTCACTACAGACTTTTTGCACTGTTTATTGACATGTGTCATCTGTACATTAACACACCCCACAGTCTGCTATAGACTCCACTACTCAAGAGAAACCCATCATCAACACTAAAAATTACCAAAAGCTAACAACTTATGACAGCTCAGTAAAATTCCTAAATTCATGTATGCTTTTATAAGCACTGTTTCAATATAATTATTTTCTTTTTTTATTCATTGCAAATTTTCTACATATCAACTTCCAGATGAAATAATAACGTAGGATCTACAGCAACAAACATGTGCCATAGTGAGTCTTCTTACAATGACTTTCCAGCATATATACAGCTCTGTAGGCTATAGCAGTCATCAGAATAAAGGATCTGTCTCATAATGTTAAACAAAAACCGTTTGCTTTGAACACTACTGAAGATGACACCCCTATTAACAATACTGAAATCAACGGTTCCTATAGCCAGGAACCAACAGCTTATAATGAGGCACTCTTCAATACAATCACCTACCTTTGCAAAATATATAATACATTAAGCTTACACTCCTATCTTGTTTAACTGTAACAGAAGTCAGTATCTATGATACAATCTCCTACCTGTATTTTACAGTTCAATCCTGAATTCCAGCAGTAACAGTGTGGGAGTATAAACTAATGGATCTTCTAACTGAAGTCAGACTCAATCATATATATTACACTCTTCTGCTGGCCATTTGTATTGATTTACAAATTGTCAAAAGGCCCAATGCACCTGATGATCGTAATATTGTCTGGATGATTATTATGGCTATATAATTTTTGTGACAAAATCAACACACCTTGGACTAACAGATAAAGCAGGGCTGTGAAATACAGGACATAGCAGGAATGGGACAAACAGAACATAGCAGAATTAGGACATATAGGACACAGCAGGATTAGGACATACAGAACACAGAAGGGCTAGGACATACAGGACAAAGCAGGATTATGACACACAGAACACAGAAGGGCTAGGACATACAGGACACAGAAGGGCTAGGACATACAGGACAAAGCAGGATTATGACATACAGAACACAGTAGGGCTAGGACATACAGGACAAAGCAGAATTATGACACACAGAACACAGAAGGGCTAGGACATACAGGACACAGTAGGGCTAGGACATACAGGACAAAGCAGGATTATGACATACAGAACACAGTAGGGCTAGGACATACAGGACAAAGCAGAATTATGACACACAGAACACAGAAGGGCTAGGACATACAGGACACAGTAGGGCTAGGACGTACAGGACACAGTAGGGCTAGGACATACAGGACAGAGAAGGGCTAGGACATACAGGACACCGTAGGGCTAGGATATACAGGACACAGTAGGGCTAGGACATACAGGACACAGTAGGGCTATGACATACAGGACACAGTAGGGCTAAGACAAACAGGACACAGCAGGATTAGGACATACAGGACACAGTAGGGCTAGGACATACAGGACACCGTAGGGCTAGGACATACAGGACACAGTAGGATTAGGACATACAGGACACAGTAGGGCTAGGACATACAGGACACAGTAGGGCTAGAGCATACAGGACACAGTAGTGCTAGGATATACAGGACACAGTAGGGCTGAGTAATACAGGACACAGCAGGGCTGGGTCATACATGACACAACAGGGCTAGGACATACAGGACACAGTAGGGCTAGGACATACAGGACACCACAGGCCTGGGTCATACAAGAAAACCGCAGGGCTAGGACACAGTAGGGCTAGGACATACAGGACACAGCAGGATTAGGACATACAGGACACAGTAGGGCTAGGACATACAGGACACAGTAGGGCTATGATATACAGGACACAGTAGTGCTAGGATATACAGGACACAGCAGGATTCGGACATACAGGATACAGTAGGGCTAGGGCATACAGGACACAGTAGTGCTAGGATAAACAGGACACAGAAGGATTAGGACATACAGGACACAGTAGGGCTAGGACATACAGGCCATAGTAGGGCTAGGACATACAGGACACAGCAGGGCTGGGTCATACAGGACACAGTAGGGCTAGGACATACAGGACACAGTAGTGCTAGGATATACAGGACACAGTAGGGCTGAGTAATACAGGACACAGCAGGGCTGGGTCATACAGGAGACCACAGGGCTAGGACATACAGGACACAGTAGGGCTACGATATACAGGACACAGCAGGATTAGGACATACAGGACACAGTAGGGCTAGGATATACAGGACACAGAAGGATTAGGACATACAGGACACACTAGGGCAAGGACATACAGGCCATAGTAGGGCTAGGACATACAGGACACAGCAGGGCTGGGTCATACAGGACACAGAGGGGCTGGGTCATACAGGACACAGCAGGATTAGGACATACAGGACACAGTTGGGCTGGGACATTACGGGAACAACAGGGTTGGTATATACAAGACACTGCATTCTGGGTTGGGATAAATAGGGCAAAGCAGGGTTGGGAGAGAGGGAGAGAGAAAGAAAGAGAAAAAGAGTGAAGAAAAAAGAGGAGGGGGATCTATAGACAGACAGGTAGAGGGGGAGAAGAAATTCAAACAGGCAGGGACATAAACGTCACATATCGCAGTAAGTCCTCCCTTAAAATACCTTAAAAACATTAATCAAGAACATAAAGGCTTATTGAAACACTCAGAACTATCAACAGGAAATACCTCCTTTATATAAACAGTGTGAGTCACACATGAACATTTACAGTATAAGATTATAAAGGAGAAAGCTAAATAAAGAGGGAGGGATATGATCATATGTATATAGATAAAAGAAACATGTCCCAGACATAACAATACTATAACATGTCCCTATACAGAAAGATACCCTATACAGAGAGATAAGACCCTATACAGAGAGATACCACAACACGTCCCTCTACAGAAAGATACCCTATACAGAGAGATACCAGCAACACGTCCCTATACAGAATTATATCCTTTACAGAGAGATATGACCCTATACAGAGAGATATGACAAGATGTCTCTATACAGAAATATACAGGCAACACGTCCCTATACAGAAATATACAGGCAATACGTCCCTATACAGAAAGATACAGGCAACACATCCCTATACAGAAAGATAGGACAAGATGTTCCTTTACAGAAAGATACAGGCAACAAGTCCCTATACAGAAATATACAGGCAACACGTCCCTATACAGAAATATACAGTCAATATGTCCCTATACAGAAATATACAGGCAATACGTCCCTATACAGAAAGATACAGGCAACACATCCCTATACAGAAAGATAGGACAAGATGTCCCTTTACAAAAAGATACAGGCAACAAGTCCCTATACAGAAATATACAGGCAACACGTCCCTATACAGAAATATACAGGCAATATGTCCCTATACAGAAAGATACAGGCAACACATCCCTATACAGAAATATACAGGCAACACGTCCCTATACAGAAATATACAGGCAATATGTCCCTATACAGAAAGATACAGGCAACACATCCCTATACAGAAAGATACAGGCAACATGTCCCTATACAGAGAGATACCAGCAAGACGTTCCTATACAGAAATATACACTATACAGAGGAGATACGTCAAGATATCCCTAAACAGAAAGATACAGGCAACATGTCCCTATACAGAAAGATACGACAAGATGTCTCTTTTAAAGAAAGATACAGAAAAAAAATTGTCCCTATAGATACAGATAACATATCCCTTTACACAAAGATACAGGGAACATGTTCCTTTAAACAAAAATAGAGGGACATGTTCCTATACATAAAAAAACAGGTAACATGTCCCTTTAAATAAAGACACAGGCAACTTGTCCCTTTGAATAAAGATACAGGCAACTTGTCCCTTTAAATAAAGATACAGGCAACTTGTCCCTTTAAATAAAGATACAGGCAACTTGTCCCTTTAAATAAAGATACAGGCAACTTGTCCCTTTAAATAAAGATACAGGCAACATGTCCCTTTAAATGAGGACACAGGCAACTTGTCCCTTTAAATAAAGATACAGGCAACTTGTCCCTTTGAATAAAGATACAGGCAACTTGTCCCTTTAAATAAAGATACAGGCAACTTGTCCCTTT